ATTATTATTTCCCTTTTTGTACAAAACTCGGTACCTTTCTTTCTGGAAAGAATCCTTTCTCAGGATCCTTCCTGTGGCCTTCCATCATATTTCTCTCCACATGTCTCTGCCCTCCTCTCCCTACACACTGGCAGAGAGCTCGTCCATTGAGTGGTTTGACTAATACCTTTATGAGGGAACTCCAGACTCTCTTTTTCTTTTTCAATTATTTTTTTTAACATTTATTTATTCTTGAGAGGCAAAGAGAGCACAAGTGGGGGAGGAGCAGAGGGAGAGGGAGACAGAGAATTCGAAGCAGGCTGTCAGCACAGAGCCCGACGCAGGGCTCGAACCCATAAGCCGTGAGATCATGACCTGAGCTGAAGTTGGACGCTTAACTGACTGAGCCACCCAGATGCCCCCAAACTCTCTTCTTTTAAGCTGATACTGGTCCGCTGCTGTTGCTCTCAAACTCCGTATTTCCAAAAGGAAACTTGAGATCTTCTCCAGACTAGATCTCCCTCAGAGAACCCCCCATTTCTGGCTGTGGTTCTTCCATTCCTTCAATTTTCCAGGCTAGAAACCTTATATTTTAGTTTAGTGAGAGCTATTTTTACTGCTACCGCTTAACTACCACAACTAGAAGCTGCCACTGTGTGCCATCCATGTGGTGCTAGATGGTTCAGTTACTTTGCTTGAGACATCAGTAGTTGGTTTGTGGAAGACCTGATTCAAAGACATGTCTGTCTGTCTGACTTGCAAGTCCATGGTTTGTTATAACCTCCCTTATAACTTCGCAGGATCTTAGATGTGCACATGACCACAGTCTCTCCAAGTTCAATGCCTTGTATTTTTGTAAATAGATAGGATTTTTTCTTTTATTTTTTCCTCATCTCCTTCCCTCTCTCCCTCCCTCCCTCCCTCCCTCTCTAATAAACTGTTCTTTTTTCGCCTTTAAGCTTTTTGTCACTGCCCATCTTAGTTAAGGCCCTTATCACCTCCTTCCTGGACCAGTCTAAAGGTCATTCATTGTTTCTCAACAGGGACACTGGTGGTGTTTTAGGCAGAATCATTCTTCGTGGTTTGGGAACACAAGGATGCTAACAACCTTGGCCCCTACCAGACTAAATGCTCAAAGTACCCCGGTACCTCCAGTCACTGTGACACCAAAAATTATCTGCAAATTTTTCCAAAGATCCCCTGGGGGTGGAAAATGATATCACTTCTATTGAGAAACGTTGTACTTCCTTTTTTCTTTAGAATCCATCTTGGGTATTTCTGACATGAATTCTTAACTACTTGGTCATGTCATTTTCCTACCAAACAATCAACAATGGCTGTTGTCTTTCATATGAAATAATCTTTTCATGTTTTTGTTTCCTTTTTTTAAAGATTTTATTTTTAAGTAATCTCTATAACCAATGTGGGGCTTGAACTCAAGACCCTGAGATCAAGGGTCACACGTTCTTCTGACTGAGCCAGACAGGTGCCCCCCAAAATCTTTCCAGGTTTTAAGATCTGTATTTCTGTATAGCCCCTGTTCCTTCTGATCTCATTTCCCACCGTTCCCTGCATGTTTTCTCCACCACAGCTGGACTCCACCCCACCCTCTTCATCTTCTTCCGTGCTCCTTCCCTTCTCTACAGCTCACAGTTCCCACATTTGAGTTCAGCTGATGTTTCACATTGTTCCCGTGGTGATTCCAGCCTATGTTGACCCCCTTTCCTTTGGTTTAGATAATGTATGTATAGGCATATACATTTATATTATTTTTATATAAACTTCCATTCAGTTTCACATTTGTTGTTCCCTGATTATTGCACCGGGATTATCGGTCCTTTTTTTTTTTTAATGTTTATTTTTGAGACAGAGAGAGAGCAAGCGAGGGAGGGGCAGAGAGAGAGGGAGACCCAGAATCCGAGGCAGGCTCCAGCCCCTGAGCTGTCAGCACAGAGCCTGACGCGGGGCTCGAACTCACGAACCGTGAAATTACGACCTGAGCCGAAGTCGGACACTTAACCGACTGAGCCACCCAGGTGCCCTGTTGGTCGTTTTTAACCAAAGTTAAAAGCATCTTCAGGGTAGGCTCATTACTCTGGAATCCTCAGCATCTATGCACATGGCATCATCGTTAGAACACCGTGTTTTGTATCGGATTACTGGGTATATGTCCTTGCACTGTCAGTAATGTGTGACCTTGAGCAAGTTACTTCACCTCTGGTCTCAGGAAAAGGGATGATGGCAATATCTGCCTGATGGGGTTTTTGTGAGGATTACGTACCATACTACATATAAAACACTTAGAACTATTCCTGGCTTGTGGTTAGTCATTCAAAAAATTTTATGATGACCAATATTATGAAATATATTCCTACTGATTAAATTATGTTTTTTGCTAAAAAAATTTTGTGTTTCTTTTTTTTTTTAATCTCCCATAGGTCTTGGCTGATGGTTTGAGGACGGGTGTAAGCGAATGGCCTGAGCCTCTGGAAGTAAAGTCTGCTGTTGATCTTGTGCAGGAATTTCTGAATGGTCTTTGTTTTCCTAGCTCATGCTCTCTTTATACTGTTTATTTTTCTTAGTTGCGAATTTATACTTTCTAAATTCAAAAATAAGTTGTCTTTTTAGGTGTGGTATTCCTTTTGGTTGGGATATATATGAAGCTGTGAGGTCTGTCATGGTCAGAGGGACAGATGTGTTCTGAATTACTAGTAGTAGAGGTCTAAGTAATTTTAAGAATTAATATTGAATTTAAATTTTATATATCGCAGCTGTATTCGAGATTGTATGAAAAGAGGGATGGAAGAGAAACCTTTGAGCACCTACCATGTGCCCAGCAATGTGTGTCAGGGGCTTTCACTGTATCTCAGAACACCCCCACACCCCTACCAGTTGGGTATCTATCATAACCTCCATTAGAGAGTTAAGTAATTTGCTAAAATCCCTGGTTGTATTTCTGCTGTCCTCATTTACCATTTGAAGGTAGGATTAGGATGGAAATAATTTAGAAAGCAGAAAGGTAAAATCTAGAGTTAATAAGCTTTTGCTACTTTTCTAGACTTAAATAAGCTGGATGGATTTGGTGATTCTACAAAAAAAGACACAGAGGTAAGCAATCCTTATCAGTTAGCAACATACACTGAAACAGCTTTTACGATTTGGTTGTACTGTTACCCTTCATGTCCTACCATTTCAAATGGATCTGGTACAGCAAAGGCAGTGTTTTGAGGGTAGTTTTTTTCTTGGTCTTTAAAGTCAGCACTGGTGATTGTTTTCCTTAAGAACTAATAAATGCTTTTGATGAGAACTAATAAGTACATATTATTAGTTGATCAACTGCAGAGAAGCAGAAATGACTCTATGTTAATATGCTATAAGATGGTAATGCCTTTCTTGGTATCATTAAGTTAAGTTAAATAGGTTGTCATTTGATGAACAGGAAAATGGAGACAAATTCATTTAATTAAGTATTTTTGCATAGAAGGAAAGTTGAATGCTTGCTTTAGGCATCACACTTTTAAAACAATTTAAGGGTCCAATTTTTCACGGTCAGTTGATTTGTATCTCCTCATTAGTGAATGAAGTTCTAGAAAATTCACTCACATCTGTGGATCCACATTTTCTCAGAGCATGATTTAAAAGCTCGCTGTCCTGGGGCGCTTGGGTGGCTCAGTCGGTTAAGCAGCCGACTTCGGCTCAGGTCACGATCTCACACTCCGTGAGTTCGAGCCCCGCGTCGGGCTCTGTGCTGACCGCTCAGAGCCTGGAGCCTGTTTCAGATTCCGTGTCTCCCTCTCTCTGACCCTCCCCCGCTCATGCTCTGTCTCTCTCTGTCTCAAAAATAAATAAACGTTAAAAAAAAAAAAAAAAATTTAAAAGCTCGCTGTCCTTAAACTATTTTTATTTTTGTTTCTTTTTTTTTTTTTTTAAGTCTATTTATTTATTTTGAGTTGGGGGATAGAATTTCAAGCAGGCTCTGTGCTGTCAGCACAGGTCCCGACTCGGGCTTTGATCCCACAAACCATGAGATCATGACCTGAGCTGACATCAAGACTTGGACGCTTAACCAACTGAACCACCCAGGCGCCCCTCTTTTCTTTTTTAATAAACTGAGTCTTCTTTAATGCTTCTTTCTCAGACAGTGAAGCATGACAGTGCTGCAGTTGACCGTACCATCGAGTGTCTTTTCACAGTGCGGGGCGATCTCGATTTTGCTGAGCAGCTGTGGTTCAAAATGAGCAGTAGTATGTGTCTACCATGATTGTAAAATAAAATGTTTCCTGTTCTTTGTTAGGCTTACTTTTTCAGTCTTTGAAAATCATACAATGTGTACTATTAGTCTTGTGTGGAAGCCTGGTTCCTATTTTATCAGATTCTTTTCTAATAATGTATTGGCACATTCTACTCAAGAATTGTACTAAGACAAGGCAATTTATAGAGTCCATTTTTCTCCTGCCTTGAGCATAAGATGTAGGTGGTTTTAATGTTATGTTTATATGAACCAAAACATACACCTTAGTGGCATTATAATTATTAGAAAAAGGAAAAGATGTTCCTTAATGTTTCACTGTGTTATTTTGTGACACTGAGTTTACTTTAGAAATGTGTTAAATCTTTCTGTTCGTCTTTATTTTCTTTCCCTTTCCCCCATCCATAAAGTACAGATACTTGTCCTCTACTTACTTGTGTATCCTTAAGATTAATGATGTATTTGATCTGCAGAAATACCATGAAAGTAATGTTGGACTGACTTGTTTTCCAAGGTGTGATTTCTTATCAAGACTTGGTGAAATGTTTCACGCTGATCATCCAGAGTCTACAACGTGGTGATATACAACCATGGGTAGGTTTAGTAGTGTGCGTTAGAACCCTTTTTCAGCAGCTGAGCATGAAGGTTAAGGCATAGGCTTGGGAACAGACTGCCTGAGTTTAATTCCAGCCCTGCTGCTTTCTTAGCTGTGTAAACTTGGGCAGGTGTCTTTAGGTCTCTGTGCCCCAGTTTCCTCATCTGTAAAGTAGGAGGAGGAAGATTATCTACCTCCTGGTGTTGTTTTAGGGTTAAATATTTTCCAAATGTATCATGCACGCCCTTTAAATCATTAGTTTGTTTCTTCGGATCCACCCTGAGCTCTACACAGAAATATGTATCAAGATTTTACATATTAGAATAGTTATCACAACCTCATTTCTGGTAGCAAAAAATTATAAATGACATAAACTTCTCGTTAATGGACCATAAGTAAAGAATGATACAGCCACATCTTTGCTAAAAATGGTGCTGACAGATGATCGGTGGAGAAACGCTTACAATCTGCAGTAAAAAGAAAGGATTATACACTATTGCATTAAAAAAGTAAATTTTGAAGGGAAAAACCTGGATACAAATAAATCAAAATGTTAACAGCAGTCACCTCTGGTGCTAGGGTTACAAATGAGGTTTTCCAACTGCATTATACATTTCTATACTTATGGATTTTCCACAATGAACTCGTGCTTTTACAATCAAGAGAAAGCTAAGTAAAAAACTAGAAACATTCCTCATTTTGTAGGAATTCTTTGAAATAGTGTATCTGCCAGTTCACGACTCTAAAACTTAGAAACTTCCATGGGTGGGAACAAAGATCAGCTGCAAAGCAAAGGCATGTGAGCTCTGCCCCTAACTGGGCAATGGTGGCTGTAGGTGTTTTAACCATGGCCATAGAGTTTCTCTCATCCTAGTCTCTGTATGAGGCGTTTGCAAGTATATCCCTGCCCTGTGCAGAGAGTGCAAACAACACGAAAATCGTTTTTATTAAACAAAGGGAAATGCAAAAGGTGATGATGAAGATTAGAGATAATAGATATTAGTGACAAAATGGCCAATATTTCAGGTATCTCTAAAACAAAGTGCTTAACATTTGGAACATCTGTTAGGTCTGTAAGTTCACACATCTTAATTTGCAAATGATCTAGTTAGGATGTCTGTAGCCAGGGAGTTTCTCCTGACCAGTGAATTGACCACCGAGGGAGGGAGTTTTCCGTGCAGATGAAGACGTTCAGTTTAGGAAAGACGCCCAGGAGCACTTAATCAGCTAGCAGGAAAGAATTGCTAGTTGCAGAGCTTCAGAGAACCAACTCTGTCTTCTCTTTGGTGGAACCGTATCTGGGGGTGATAAGTTGAAACTCTTCATAGTTGCTTTGGACTCAAGCGAATCATATAGGAATGACCCTTCAGGAGCTGACACGTTTGTAAATCAGGGTTTTTTATTCACACTATTTATAGTATCAGGAGACTAAAAATGCAAGCTTATACATTTTTAGCTCGTAGCTCATGCAGTTTGTTTTTCTTTTGTTTATTGATTTGTTTATATTTTTATTTATGGTTTTATAAATTTGTTTTGATTTCTAGCTCCATAGTGGGAGTAACAGTTTACTAAGTAAGCTTATTCATCAGTCTTATCACGGAACCATGGATACAATTTCTCTCAGTGGGACTGTTCCAGTTAAGATGCTTTTGGAAATTGGTCTGGACAAACTAAAGAAAGATTATATCAGCTTTTTCATAGGTGAGTCCCTTTCCCTGCTCAAAAAATGAAAAAGCGTGTCACAATCATCAGCCATAAGTATTCTCAGATTTTATCTTTCTACTTGGCCCTAGTCATTTATAGCCCTGGCTTCACCCCTGGTTCTCTGTGAGACCAGCACTTCTCTTCGCTGGGACTTACTTTCCTCCTTGATAAAGAGATTAAATTTAACTCTAGTTTTGGTTTGTGTTTTTAGTTCAAACATTTTGAGATTCTATGAGGTTAGTGTATTAAATAAAAAGAAACCTTTCTGTGAGATGCTGTTTTAATACCCAACACTTGGTTGTTTTTATTAGAGGCACGCTGTGATCCCTTTTAGAATAGTATTAATATATATTCATGGTGTAATGTGCCAGAAAATTTGTCTATTTCTGGGGAACTATTTGGCTGGAGCATCTCTTTTATATAGGAGCTCTGCAAAATTTTACTAAGGTTCCTTAACAAGTAATAGGCGATACCTAAAGCTTATTTGTATATCTGTGTGTTTTCTTACTAGGTCAGGAACTTGCATCTTTGAATCATTTGGTGAGTTTGTCCTTTTATTCTTTTTTTTTTAATGTTTATTTTTGAGAGAGAGAGAGAGAGACCGAGCGCAAGTGGGGAAGAGGCATAGAGAGAGAGGGAGACACAGAATCTAAAACAGGCTCCAGGCTCTGAGCTGTCAGCACAGAGCCTGATGAGGGGCTCGAACTCGGGAATGGCAAGATCATGACCTGAGCCGAAGTCTTAGGTTGAAGCTGAGTAAGGTGGAGGTAACTCAACCAACTGATCCACCCAGGTGCCCCTGTTTTGTTGTTGTTTTTTTTAAATGCTTATTTAGTTTTGAGAGAGAGAGAGTGTGTGTGCAAGCAGGGGAGGGGCATACAGAGGGGGACAGGGATCTGAAGCCAGCTCTGTGCTGACAGCAGCGAACCTGATGTGAGTCTCCAACCCACGAACCACTATATCATGACCTGAGCCGAAGTTGGACACTCGACTGACTGTTGATTGCCCCTGTTCTTTTATTCTAAAGTTGGCTTTTCTTTTAATTCAGTCATCCTACCTGCAGATACTAAATAACTGTTCTGTGCCAGCCCTTGTCCTAGGACCTAGGAAACATAGATAGACAGACAGACAAATATATAACAGAGAAAGGGTATTCTTTATTTTCATGCATTCCCCACCCCACCCCCCGCCCCAGTCATTTCATATGCCTGTTTTTTTCTTTTAATATGGTTTGACTCCAGGCTTTTGACACAATAGTCCTTAAATTTGGAGAACCTCCTAGAAGGCTAGTTGAATTGCTAATTCCTGGACCCCAGTGACTCTGTAGGCCTAAGGCACATAAAGATGTCTTTTAAAACAAGTCATCTCCTACTTCAAATAATTCAAATGCTTTTCCCTTAGTGTTAGTTTCCTGTTACAACATAACAAATTATAGTAGTTCCCATCTCTGGGGGATATATTCCAAGACCCCCAGTAGATGCTTGAAAGTATGGTAGTACTGAATCCTGTGTATACTATGTCTTTCCTTATACACACTTCCCTATCATAAAGTTATGCACAGAGATTATAAGTTAGGCACAGAGATTAACAGCAGTAACTAAAAATAGAACAATTATAATAAACTATAATAAAAGTTATGTGGATGTGGTCTCTGTCTTAAAATCTTACTGTATTGTACTCACCCTTGTGATATTACAAGATGATAAAATGCCAGTGAGATCAAGTGAGGTGAAAGATGTAAGTGTTGTGACCTAGCGTTTGGCTACTGTTGACCTTCTAAGAGGTTTGAAACCATGGAAAGTGAAACCTTGGATAAAGGGGGGACCACTGTACTACAAACTTAAAAGCTTAAATGAACACAGACTTACTGCGTCACAGTTTCCTGGGGTTGGGAGTTGGGCACATTTTAGCTGGGTAGTCTGCTAAGAGTTTCACAAGGCTGAAATCAAGGTGTCTGCCATCTGCTTGACTAGGGAAAGATCTACTTCTAAGTTCCCCCATTTGTTGTTGGCAGAATTCATTTCCTTGTGGCCTTATGACCAAAGTTCCCATTTCCTTGCTAGTTTTTTGGTCCAGGGCTGGTCTCAGATCTTAGGGATTGTTTTTGGGTCCTTGCCATGTGGCCTTCTCCACAGCGCGGGCAGTTTGTTTTTTCAGAGTCAGCAGGAGAGCATCTCTAATGCTTCACCTTCTTTTAAAAGGCTCACCTGATTAGGTAGGTCATAGTGACAGTCTCCCTTTTGGTCAATTCAGAGTCAGTCACTTAGTAACCTAATCATGGAAGCACCGTCTGTCAAGTTCTGGCCTATGAAGGAGAAGGGATTATTACAAGATGTGTATTTCAGGTGGTGGGAATCTTGGGGGCCATCATAGAATTCTGCCTACCGTTATTTACCGTGGATTATTTCCTTAGGATGTTTTCTCAGAAATAGGATGAGGTCTGAGTATTTTATGATGCTTGACATACATTGCCAAATTTCTTTTTTCAAAGGGTGGTACCTATTTACAGTTTCAGATGTGACTGGAAGCTTATCAATACACTTGATTAATTTCTTGGTACTTGTTACCTGTTTTTAGAGGTGGACACTCCCATCAACCTGGCAAGGGTGTTGAAGTTAAGAATTATCTTGTGGATTTGCCAGTCATTCCATCTGGAGAGCTTGGTGGGTAGTATTAGTTACCCACTTGGGTCTCCTTGGTGAGGCAGTTCTCGAATTTGTGTTAACCAGATAATGTAATGTTTGCTGAGCATGTTCTCAGTGACAATTTTGCTTATAGTTTAGTTTGAAGAGTAGTATTGAAAGGAGGTAAATTCTGTCTGGCTGCCTCCATTTTTTACCCCCCTATTAATTAAGCATAGTTTAGGCTTAGCAAGCATAGCCATATTCTTCCTAAAGATTGCTTTTCTAGGGGCGCCTGGGTGGCGCAGTCGGTTAAGCGTCCGACTTCAGCCAGGTCACGATCTTGCGGTCCGTGAGTTCAAGCCCCACGTTGGGTTCTGGGCTGATGGCTCAGAGCCTGGAGCCTGTTTCCGATTCTGTGTCTCCCTCTCTCTGTGCCCCTCCCGTTCATGCTCTGTCTCTCTCTGTCCCCAAAATAAATAAACGTTCCAAAGAAAATTAAAAAAAAAAAAAGATTGCTTTTCTTCTTCTTCTTCTTCTTCTTCTTCTTCTTCTTCTTCTTCTTCTTTTTTTTTTTTTAATGTTTATTTATTTTTAAGACAGACAGAGAGTATGAGCAGGGGAGGAGCAGAGAGGGAGGGAGACAGAATCCCAAGCAGGCTCCGTACTGTCACTGCGGGGCTAGAACCCAGGAGTCGTGAGACAATGACCTGAGCCGAAACCAAGAGTTGGACACTTAAATGACTGAGCCACCCAAGCGCCCCAAGATTGCTCGTGCTCTTTAACTCCTTATTTTGCTGTTTTCTGTTCCAGGAATATTTCATAACTCCATCAGTAGATATACAAGAACAGGTGTGTCGTGTTCAAAAACTCCACCATATTCTAGAAATATTAGTCAGTTGCATGCTTTTCATTAAACCCCAACATGAGCTCCTCTTTGCTTTAACACAGTAAGTATTGCTCTTGTTCCTTCCACATAAAAATGTAGTCTCTTATGAAATAGGTGGGGCCAAAATGTGTGCAGTTTTTATTATCAGTTTGGGTAGAATCTGTACACCCTATCTTCACAGTAGCAGAATGGTTCTGAGCCCCTGTCAGAGGAAGGAAAGGCTTTGGATTCAGAAGGACTCAGGTTTGATACTTGGCTCTAGCATTTTGGGACTTTCTGAGGAAGTTTCCTTTCGCTGCATCTTATTTTCTTATCTGTAAACAGGAACTAATAACTTGAAGTGTTTGTCGTCAGGATGAAATGATGTAATGTGTCTAAAGTACCTGACACCTAACGGGTGCTTCATGAATATTTCCTTCTTCTTTTCTTTATAGCCTTATACATTTGGGCCAAAGTAATCATTGCTAGACCTCCAGTGGTAATTGAACGAAACCAAATACTATTATCTGACTTCTGCCAATAGCACTGCTATAATTTTAGAGATTCTGCCGATCAGTTTGGCTAGAAACAGTTTGGAATGAGCCTCCTACATGGGTTGCCGGTGTCTTATGTGTATTTGAAGCTTCACGGTCGAAATGAGTGAGCCATCCAGTGGATGGACTGGGTTTCTTATTCCCTGTGGAAGGAAATGTACCATTGCCTTTCCCGAATTTAGAATTTGCCTCAGTTGTAAAGGGAAATATTTGAAATTATTATTGTTTACAGAATCTAACATTTATTTTCATTAAAGATGAAGAGTGTAAATGAGTTAACTCTTTAATTCCCCAGAATCTGAAAACCATGGAGGCTGTATCTTTGTCTCTCTTTTGATTCTTACTGGTTTTCTTTTTCTGATACCACTTCCTCCCCCACTTAGTTAGGCCTTTACTTTGGCTTAACTTAATAGGCCTTCTATTAATTTTTACAAATTGAAAAAAAAATTGAGATACCCTTTCAAAATAAAAAACAACCTAACTTTTTTGTTGTGGGGGGGGAGGAGGCATTGGTTTTTTGTTTACTGTTGTGGCCCTGAAATTATTCTTCTGCGGTTGTTTTGGTTAGTGGTACTGGGTGAAATGTTTCTCTTATGAGCTTTAGATGACCAGAAAGCCTTTATCTCCAAGGGACATTTTTTTTTTCCAGAAGAGGTTCTTTTTTTGTTGTTTTCTGTTTGTTTTAGATCCTGCATAAAATACTACAAACAAAATCCTCTTGACGAGCAACACATTTTTCAGCTGCCAGTCAGACCAACTGCTGTAAAAAGCTTATATCAAAGGTCAGCAACTTAATAATTAAATTATACTTTAAGTCTGGCCATAATTCCTTGGCAACTCCTCTGTCCTTTCCCTGGGGGTCTCGTGACCAAGAGCTGTGCTCCACCTCTGCAACCTTAATCATCTCTGTCCTGCTCTTTGACTGCCATCTGGTAGAGTTCACCCTCTCTCCTCTCCCAGACCTTTTGTCTTCTCTTTTTCTACCATTGGGCCTCTAGTCTTTCATTTTTCTCTCAACTTGTAATTCCTTCACTGTATAGGGCAGAAAGTGTAGGCAGAAGGGAAATGACAGATTGGGAAGAAAGTGATCGGGGTAATGATGACAAGTCGAGGATATGCCTGTGAGGAATGAGAGGGTTTGGGATTGGGGAGGTATGGGACTGTGAGGCTAAGGTGACAGATTGGCCATCCACATGGACTCAGGCTGTGTCAAATGATAGGTTCCTCGGCTCTTCCCTCAACAGGTAATGTGCTTGAAATTTCTCTCATACTGAAGCCACTCTGTTTTTATCCTCCATTTTGTTCCCGCGTAGCCAAACCCTGTCATTCCTTGAAACTGCTCTGGCCGAGATCACTGGTGGCCTTCTAATTACCAAATCCAGTGGACAACTTGCCAGTAAAAGAGTGTGCTTTAGCCCCTGGTGTAATCAGCTGGCCCCCCAATTCTTTCTCCTGATGAGTAAGCACTTAGAAGGCTCTTTGGCATTTAACACTATTCCTTTCTTGGATCTCCGTCCCGTTTCTTCATTTCTGTGACACAGCGTTCTGTGTTAAGGTTAATTCCGCCTCTCTGGTCCCCCTCCAAGACCGAGAGGAGTTCTCTCTTCAGGGTCTTCCTCTGCCTGCTTCTTGTGTGGCTTTTCACCAGAACTCCACCTTCTGCCTTCTTTTCTTCTTGCTTTCCGTCTTCCCTGGGTGATTGGACTCACACTCAAAGCCTCAATTCCTCTGGGCTAATGAGAATTCATAACTCCCATCGCTAGCTTCTCCTGAGCTTCAGATCCATGTTTCTAAATTAGGTGTAAATCCCCAACTTCAGTGTCCTGTAGGTAGTTCAGACTCAAACCCCGAAATTTAGAGTTGCGACCTGTTCATCTCTTCTTTCTCAGTGCCTCTCACATGAGGACTTTGCTAATTGTGAATATAAAAGGAAGGAAGGAAATAACTGGGGCTTTTTTTTCCCTTTGATGTTTCTTCTTTCCTTAGTGAGAAGCCACAGAAATGGAAAGTGGAAATCAGTGGTGGTCAGAAGAAGGTGAAAACAGTTTGGCAGCTGAGTGACAGTGCACCTGTAGACCATCTGAGTTTCCACAAACCTGGTAAAGATGGTTTGTAATCTATTCAGATAAATTCCAGTAGAAAATAAACTGAATCTTTACTGGCACATTATGGTAGCTCTTGTGCCCAGTTTTAAATAATTTTCCTGAACTCTAGGTGTAAAATGTATTTTTTCTGGGGGAAAAAATCACGGGAGAGTGCTTTTTCTCATCCTGGATAGAGAAACTTTTATTAAAAGAGGTCAAGCAATAGGGATACAAGGAGCAAAAATAGATGAGAAGGTTGAAATGCTAGCTCATACTTCACACTTTTGTGCACTCTCTCAGTGATGATATTTCTACCCTGATGTCTTCTCTGGGAGTGCTGGGAAAAGGTTGAGAATTTTTTGTTTATTTATTTATTTTTGAGAGAGAGCACAAGCAGGGGAGGGGCCGAGAGAGAGAGTCCCAAGCAGGCTCTGTGCTGCCAGCATTCCCAGCCGCTAGTTCTTCCCAACTCCCAGGAAACCATGAGATCAGCTCTGAGTCAAAACCAAGAGTTGAACGTTTAACCGACTGAGCTACCCAGGTGCCCTGAGATTTTTTTTTTTTTTAATGTGTATTTATTTTTGAGAGGGGGCAAGCACGTGTGAGCATGGGAGGGGCAGAGAGAGAAGAGAGAGAGAGAGAGAGAGAGAATCTCAAGCAGGCTCCGTGAGGTCAGCGCAGAGCCAGATGCAGGGCTCCATCTCACGAGCTGTGAGATCATGACCTGTGCCAAAATCCAGAGTCGGATACTTAACTGACTGAGCCACCTAGGTTCCTAGGCGCCTCGAGCTTTCTAATGTTCTGTCATAGATGGTCCACATCAGTCAGAGAATGGGTTTGAGCCCTTGGTGTAATAAGCCAGCTCCAAGTATTCCTCCTTTAGTAAGCACCTGTAAAACTGTTATTTTCAAGTATGTGGATTGCAAGATTCTGTCCTCTCTTTGTGTAGATTTAAAAGGCTTCATTCAGATATTGCAGTGATTATCTAAAATCATATCTGATAGTTTTAAGACCATCTGAAAAGATTTCAGAAGCCTGTAGTCAACCAGTGCTGGTTATTGAACTACAGAACTCTACAAATAGTTCTAGATTGATACCTTGCAAAATTGTTTCCATGAAAGGTTTATTCTCCCCCAAATATTTTTTGATTCAAGCATGATGGAAACTTCTCTGTTCATATGGCTGAATAGTAAAAGCCCTAAAGAAATGGAAAAATTTTCCTGAGAACCATCAGTTAAAATCATCCTGTCTTTTCTAAGTGTGATATGAAACCTGGAGGGTATAAAGCTTGAAAATCAACCACATAAAATTAGAAAAGTTGCAGCATGACAGAAAAATACCAGAGGCAAAACAAATGATAAACAAGGAAGATTAATTTGCAGCTCATGTTCGGAAAAGAGGCTACATTGCCTACTACATAAAGAACTTTCAAATCAGTAAGAAAAATATGTTAATAACTCAATAGAAAAATGCAAGTAAGATGAACAGTTTGCCAAAGAGGAAATTCAGATGTCATCTTGAGAATGAAAGCTGCCCAGGCCCACTTATGATAAGAGAAATGCATATTTATATTATAGAGATACCATCTTTTGCCTGTCAGATAAGCAAAGATCAAAAAATTTGTTATCACGGTACTGGCGAGGATGTGAACAGGCAGGCGGTCAACCTCACACATTGCCGATTGAAGTAGAAGTTTGCATAGCTTCTGTGGAGGGCGATATCTGCCAATATTTTAAAATACAATTTTTGGCCCAGCAGTTTTTTTAGTAGGGATTTATTCCATACATAAAACCAGACATGTGCAAGAAGACCTATGCACAACCTTATTAAGTGTGGTATTGTTTATAGTATTAAAAGCCTGGAAAAAATATGGAGACAGAGGCATAAGAAAAGGTCTGGAAGGATACAATAAAATTTTAACCCTCAGGTGTGGCATGGTGAGGGCAGGGGTGGTTCCCAGCTTTAGGTGAACATTAAAATCACTTAAGGAGGTTTTAAAGTCTTAATACCAAGACCAAGTAAGTCAGAATCTTTGGAGCTACTGCCTGGACAGCAGTGACTTTTTAAAAAATTCTCCGGGTGATTCCATTGTGCAACTAGTTTGAGAACCACCAATTGAAGCATTTTGTTTTAACTGCAAATGTTGTTTAAAAAGATCTATATTTTATGATTAAAAAGAAAGTTTTAAAGCTGTGAACATATGTGATACGTTTTGGAAAATGCTGTTTTAAATAAATTTTATTACATAAAGATTAAACGTGTTTTATGAGGAAATTCATGCAAGATTAAACACCTTTTTTCAATGATGCTGGATAAGTGAAGTAGAGTGAACGTATCTTCTAGAGTCTTTTTGATGCAGATTACTTCAAAAAGGAGTGAAAGTTATTTTGAATGAGTTAAAACAATTTATGAATAAATACCTGGTCCAGTGACTCCTATGAAAATAAAGAATTCTTATGAAATCCTATATTTGTGTGCTTGGAAAACCACTCACATACTCCATTTTGGCTAGAATTTTATAACCTCTTCTACCCATTGTATATTCCTGATGTGTTTGTCTAGAAATTATTCTGTCACCTCCAGCCCAAAGCAAGACCCACTGGTGAAGGACACCCTCATTTGTAAGTCACGGGCTATTCATACAAAGCCCCAGTTGTAAATATTAAAGCTCAGTCATGATTTATTTTTTGCCAAAGATTATATGCATTTAAGAGGTTAGGCTTTCTGCTTCATTGGACTGAACTGAGCACTTAGGTCCAATACTAGCTTTTCAAGATATCTAATATTGTGATACTGTTGAGTAAAACATTGAGATCAAAATCAGGAAGACCTAAGAGAGAAGAAATGTCGGGAAGAAAATAATGATTTGGGGTGAACGGGAGCGAACAACAGTGTCTGGGAGAGTGCTGCTCGCCCTGTGGGTACTCTGCAGATGATTGTTGATCATGGTGGGAATATGGAAACCAAAATGTTGACCCACAAGAAAGTGAACATAAGCTCATCTAAATGTTAATTGCATTTGTTTTTGAAATACAACAGCCTTCAGTAGAGAAAAAAAGTGCATATTTGCCTGGCCCTAAGACTAGAAATCTCAAGTAGAAATTGTTTTCCAAAATATATGTTAAGATTGGAAAAAAGAGTTGAACTATAGTGGATGAGGCACAAAAATAGAGCAGTATGTTCCCAAATTAAAAAGAGAATTAAGCTTTGTGAAGTGGCAGTATCATAGCCAGTGAGATTTATCTGAGGTGCTATTATTGCTAATTGAAAAATATAGAATTAAAACAAGTCTGCTTTGTATTTTCTTTAGTCATGTTTTCAGTGCATCAAAGTTTACCATTTAAAAGAATTGTCCACGCTGGTTTTTGTCCCCTAAATTCAAAATAGAAGACACATGCCATTCATATTACCTCTTGATTATTATAAAATTCAGCAGTGTATATGGTAGAAAAGCCAGCAGGCTGGTAAGCAATTCTGATCTCTATCTGGTTACAGATGTTTCTGAATTAACATTAAATGGTAGCCTGGAAGAAAGGATGTTCTATACTAACATGGTCACCTGCAGCCAGGTGCATTTCAAGTGAAGTGTGCCAATGGAGTCCTCTGTAAGGTAGTATGTTCGCTTTTTGTTCTCCAAATACTTTGTAGTGTATTAAGTATCTTATGTTTTAGTTCTTTCTACAACAGAAGTATTGATTTAATACATTTGGAATATGGATTATTTTTCAGTAATCATGTTAAAGGCTTATCAGATGTTATTGAGCAATGCAGGTCTTTAATTTCCTTTTTACCTTCTGTAGTCAGTAAGCCAGATTAATCTTGAAACCAGAGAAACAAAAACATATTTTTGAGTGGTAATGTCTTTGCATTTTAAATCTCTATGTATAGTAGAGAGTTTGATTTCAAAAACATTGATGTGAGAGAAAAACCCTGAAGGAGCCTATCGATTGATGTTGAAAGCAGAGTTCTATTAAAAACATATCTACCCCAGCCCAGTTGTAGGAGTAAGCCCCAGATGTAAACACCCTTTTAAAATGTTTAAGATAATATTAACCAAGAAAATTAATGCAATAGCAGTTTCTACTGTCTTACTGTTTTTGTGTTTTAGAAACAATAGAATCAGGTAATGAATAAAATGTCTCTTATTCTTTCTTAAGCCGTGTTTTGTCTCCAAATAAATATTGTTTAATTCTATCAATTTAGCTTAGTTAAGAGTAAAATGGACCTTTATTAAAAAAACAAAACAAAACAATATCTAGGCACAGAGAAGATATTAGACATATTTCTTTAAGGTACTACAATGAAGTTAATTACGTTTAGTGGAAGAAAGTTTATCTCCGAAAAGTGTACGTGCTCATTTACTTGGTACCCACCTAATGCATTTCCCTGGTTGCTTGATAGAATTTAGAACCTGAAGGGATTGTTATGTGCAGATGATTGACTGTCCATCCTGTGTAGGACAGTGCTAAGATGGCAGTTATTTCCACATGAAAGTAATATTACTGGACAGATTTTTAAAAGGAAAAAAAATCAAGTAACAAAATAATTTGTGCACTATGATTCCTTTTTTGTAAAGTGAAAGTAGATGCATAATAGACAGCAAAATATTAACATTGACTCTGACAGGTGATTTTTACTTCATTCATGCTTATTTTTATTTTCTAATTTTTAAATCCTAGCACAAGCCAAAACAAACAAAACAACAACAAAAAAACCCCATTATCACAGAGCCTGAAACCAGAAATGTATATAAACCTTCAAGGCAGAAAAAGGAGAAATGTCCAGAGGATTCTTTACGAAAGATGGATCTATAAAATGGGTAACCCTGTCTCAGCTCTGGCTCTGAAGGAGGAGCATCAGGAGAACTGCAGAGATTAGTATGCAAAGCGTGCAGACTGTAGGTACCACAATCTCCGTCACCATCTGCATGTGACTTAGTAACGGCTCTGAAACGGGAGAGAGAACACCACAAATGAGAGTGTCGTCATTTTAGCGAATATAGCTTCATCTGGAAAGATTCCCCTGCATTGGGGAAAACTTGGAAAATGGCATCATCAAGCTTTGTAATTAATCTCACTTGCTATAAAAGAGAACATGGTTCTCTTAACATTATAAAATGTTATTTAAAAAAAATTACGTGAGGGCTTTGTAATATCCTTCCGAAAATATGGAATAAAGATTGCCTACATTTGGTTCTTCCATAGGTACTGGAATAAAGTCTAAATGTGTGTTATACTTGCACTTACCATAAATTAATGTGAGAATATTGACAGCCATGTCCCCTGGTTTCTGTAATTTTCACTGGGGGGATTTATGAAAGAAAAATCCTTGGCAAATGTCTCCCAACCTTTCAAAGATGTTATTCAAAGATGTATCTTAAGAGGTGGAGGAGTTGCCATATTTTTGTGGGAATTCTTGCACTGTTAAGTAAGTATCTTGAAGAGTTGAATCATAGTGTATTTCACATACGTGATTATATTAATGAACATGTATGTAATTCCTACTGTAGGTTTTGTGCCAGGCACCCTGGCTACGGAGATAAATAAGGCACAGACCCTGCTCCCACTGATTTCATAGGCTCAGCAGTAAATTCTACATCATATGTCTAGGTGATTAAATAAGTTTATTTTGGTTTAAAGGAATATACATCCTTAATATTACCTGGTTATTCAGATGGGAGCAGGGCACAGTGGTATAAAACAGCTATGAAAGTAGCTGAATTGGTAGGATTTGTTTGGTCTAGCACTTTCCACCTCTGATACTACATTAAAGATGGGTTTGTTAAAACAGGAAGTATATTTCTCTGATTGCCCTCATAGAGAAAGACCGAATTCAAAGAAACAAATGATCTGTGCTGGCCTTGTTGATGTGTAGATGCGTCTTTGTTATTCCACATCTCTGAACCTTGGGAACCATGCCTTCCATGAAGTCAGGGACCTTGTTTTATTTATTGCTGTATTCTAGTTACAACACCCCCTAGCTAATAGTGAGTGCTTAATAATTACTTGCTGAATGAGTGAATATAAAATCTGGAGTGTTCTTTGACTTTTCGATGTTTATTCTATTTGAATATGGTTCCATTTTTCCCTCCTTCCACAAAGCCCACTATAACAAAAATAAGTTTATAAATTGACAGTATGATTCAGAAAAATAAAACTAGAGTGGATAAAATATTTCTCTTTTCTGGTAGATTTTTAAAGTATTTGAAATTCTTATAAAATAGAAATTTGACATTGCTTCAAAGTGAAGGAAAAAATTCATTTTTAATTGTGTGTTTTGGAAAGATTGACTTCACGTAGATCCACGTTTTGAGGTTTTGGTAACATCATTATATGTATAATTATGTGCCTTAGTTGTCAAAGGGAAGAATTAAAATATACTCACCTGCAGCAAGCATCTGATTGTTGATTGCACAAGTTTCCAAGGCTTTGAGATACCAACTTTCCACCTAATAAAAATCCACTAGGTAAGTAATGTCATCTTAGACTAATTTTTTGCAGTTTGAAATCTTGTTTTTGTTTTTGTTTTTTTTTTGAGAGAGAGAGCCCATGAATGAGGGAGGAGCAGAGGGAGAGGGAGAGGGAGAGAATCTTAAGCAGGCTTCGTGCCCAGCCGAAGATCCCAACGTGGGCTCCATCTATCTCAAGACCATGAGATCTTGACCTGAGCTGAAATTAAGAGTCAGACACTTAACTGACTGGGCCACCCATATGCCCCTGAAATCAGTTTTAAAATAATGTAGGATTAAGACAAATTTAAATCTGCCTGAAGTTTAGTTAGTATTTATTGAATACCTATGTGCATCTTTGTGAGGGAGTAAAAAAAAAAAAAAAAAAAAAAAAAAAAGTCTTTATTCTTGAGGAGTTTACAATCTAGCGCTTTTCTAGAAACACCAGACTAGTGAATGCCTATCAGTCACTGCTTCTTTATGTTGCCAGTGGGCTCATCCTAAAAGAATGTTGGTAAACAAGTGAGATTTCTTTTTAGAAATTTTCTTCATGAAGACATTCTAAATTCCCATTTTAATTGCCTGTCATCGATAGCAACTTAGCTGGTAGAAACATTTGTAGGTTACTGAAAATGTTTGGTAGGTTTTAAAGGATTATTAATATTAAGATGAATTATTTTTAATCTCACTTAGGAACTAGTGGGAAAAGAAGTGAAAGTTGTGTGGTCATTATACATTTATTTTACTATTATTTACTGTAACTGTTTTCACATATGTTGAAGAGTAAATAGGCAGTATTTGCATTAAAATATAACATTTAGAACATTTAACTACAAGTCTCTACTGACTGTCATAACCTAAAACATTCAGGATTCCTACATAACTAGTTTGCCCTTCGCGCTCTGCGAGTTAGGACTGAATTTTAAAAGTTAGGATTTGGGGTGTCTGGGTGGCTCAGTTGGTTGGGTGTCCGACTTCTGCTCAGGTCATGATCTCGTACTCTGTGAGTTCAAGCCCTGCATGGGGCTCAGAGCCTGGAGCCTGCTTCGGATTCTGTGTCTCCCTCTCTCTCTGCTCCTTCCCCGCTCATGCTCTTTCTCTCTCACAAAAATGAATAAATGTTACAAAAACAAATTTTAAAGTTAGGATTTAATTTTAAGGCAGGTTTACTCCATTCTAAGCAAATGAGCAAAGAGGTGGCACAAGTTAGGGGAAGAGACAAAGGCCCACAAAACCCTGTTCTCCATGGATGAAGGGAGGAGGGAGTCTCACCACCCTCCTCACCCAAGCTGCTTAGCTCTTCCAAAATCTAGAACAAGTGAGGGGCACCTGGCTGGCTCAGTCTGAAGAGCCTCCGACTCATGATCTTGGGGTTGTGAGTTTGAACCCCACCCTGGGTGTAGAGATTATTTAAAAATGCAGTCTAGAACAAGCAACCTCAATAATTTGCCCTACCTCTCTTCGATTGGGAAACCCATTGGCGGTGATAATCTTCTGGTAATATTGAACTGATGCCTTTGGATAGCGTGGCTTATTTCTGTTGTTAAATTCGACATAGTAGAATCCGTATCTATCTGAATATCCTTTCTCCCATTCAAACTTATCCAACAAAGACCAGGAAGTATACCCTTTGATATTAACACCATCTTTTATAGCTGCAAAGACATTTTGTTCCATTTTTAATATATTTCATTTACTTGGAAACATAATACTGTGAAGATAATTTTAAATGCATTCATTTATGAGATTCAGAAACAAGCTTCAGTCGGTCACGTGTGTTATCAAATTCTGTCCAAGTTAAACAGAAAATTTGTGAAGACAGTGTTGGTCTATAGCTCACCTTTTAGCATTTCGTTTATGTAGCCTTTAAGGTACTGAATTCTCCACTCATCACATAATTGAGTACAGTGTAGTTTTTGAGATGCTCCATTTTCTGTCACATAGATGGGAGGGTTGCCGTATTGAGTCTGAAAGTGAGTCATAGTAAGGAATATCTTAAAAATTCTGACCTCCAATTGGGTTTCTGAGTCTGAGGCACATGCGAGCACTTAGTCAAGCCTGCTCTATTCTAATCGAGTGTGTTTAGCATTTAGTGGATGCCAGTTTACACATTTACTTGGAGGTGAGTGTAGACAGGACAAAGTTCATACGAAAGACTACATTTCTCAATCAGCATCATTGTAGAGAAAATATACCTCAGGCTGTGTTCTTTCTCACATATTTCAAGTGAGAAGGGGCAGCAAAATAAACGTGGGATGAGAATTTGTAGCCACAGGGACATACGTTGAAGCGGTAACTCATAATCAGCGTTGGTCTGTAAAGCCCGGATCTGGTGGTCTCTGAAGAACAACTAACTGAGCTTGTTTTATTAACTTGAAGATGTAGGCACTCTGACTAATTGGAATTAAAATAAAAACTTAAACTAAAATGTAGGCCCCTGGGCCTAAGCTGTAAGATCATGAATTGGGGTAAAAAGTGCCCGTGAAATAGCCGAATGTGATAATCACCTGAGCGAAGTGGAGAAGCCTCCTAAACCCCCATGGCACAGACTGTGGCCACGTCGACCCCAGGTCAGGCCAGTTCGGGTCAACCAGCTCTACTAAGTCACGGTCATTGTGGTAGCTGGGCCCCTGGCGGGAGGGGTAGTTCCTTTCTGTGATGTACCGAGTGGTAAAGTGACCTAATCCCAAGAAATCAGATGTGCCTTTGATGTAGCTTTTCTCTTGGAGCGAGAACACCGGTAACCTTGACATGTCCAGGCCTTGCTCTGCACTCTTTTTCCCTATTGAGAGAGAAAAATAGAAATTCACCAAGTTTTACTTTCTCACGATTCTTTTGCTGTTCATACCACAATCATAGTGGCACGTTGACATAAAAGCTGCCGTCCAGATCCCGGCCTTTGGGACTCATTTGTATGGAAAATATAACCTTAGCCTTTTAAGCTGGAATTTTAACATTTGAATACTATTCAAAATTTTTAAAGTTTATATTGCGCAAAAGCTATATTTTCAGGGGCGCCTGGGTGGCTCAGTTGGTTAAGCGTCTGACTCTTGATTTTGGCTCATGATCTCAGTTTGTGGGTTAGAGCCCCGCGTCTGCACTGTGTCAGCACAGAGCTAGCTTGGAATTCTCTCTCTCTGCCCCTCCCTCATTCATGGTTTCTCTTTCTCTCTCTCTCAAAATAAATTAAAAAAAATTTAAAGTGATATGTTCCATAGATTACTCAGTAAGTGGTATGCAGGCA